CAGACACGGACGGCATTTAACAAATCAAGCTATTAAAATATGTATAACGCATTGCTGATTTGTGGAGTTGTGTTAAGCTTAAATAAGGCTTGTTCAATCTTTGAATCAGGTTGGATTATGGTGATACAATTCGCTTCATGCACTACTAATCAACTATATATTCAGCCTGATGTTAATCAGCTTTGTACACCTTAAATCAACCAATAGTCAGCTTCTGTTCTTAATGTTCAGCTTGTATTGTTACTTGAGATATTAAGAAAATTATTTCTACTTACCACTAATGTGCCATCTTTCTATTTTATTAGATTTATATTGCATTGAAATGGCTACGTTGTCTTTAATAAATTGAACGAGTTTTTTTATTTGCCGAAAACCTCCAATCACTCGAGAACAAACCGTATGCGAAAAACTAATTTAATAAAATTATCACACGTAAGACCCAAGACTAATAAAACCATGCGACCGTTCCGCTCGCCTCCTCACACAGCACATGGATTATTATTCTAAAACATTTTAAATATCCTACCCAGGGGTAATCAACTTTGCACACCTCAACCTGTGCCGAAAGCTGTGCCGAAGCGTGCCAATCAAGTATCCCATGAGATTGGCAACCCTGGAGTTTTAATGACGATTGTGATTGTCATAATATTGGTTGAATGAGCAGTGCCGAGAGTGTCGGTCACTAGACTAAATTTGTTTGCACACTAGCGGGTGCATCGCCGTGTAAAGTTGTTTATTATTTTACTATGGCTAACCTAAAAAATGTATGAACTGTCAAAAGGAATTTGAAAGCGATTTGTTATGATTTTTTTTTTCGGAAGAAACCCGCTTAATATGACGGTTCAAATGTTTTGTTTTGAAGAAACAAAACAACAACTATCTCAGATCCTAACTATCATAACCAAGACGATGTTCCATGGAGGCACCCCCCAGCAGGACAAGCTGATACCGGACAAGCTGATACCGGACAAACTGGCTAAACCGGGGGATCTCATCATGAACGTGATCGATTTCCTCCGTCCGCTGGACAACGAGCACGGCAAAGACATCATCAAAACGCATCTGCTAGCATTCGAAATCTACAATCGCTGGAACGGACTCACGCTATCGATATCAACCACCCGACCGGGATAACATGGATTCACGGTTCGAGGTTGCCAAGGGCATGAACCAACTAAACGACAAGAAACTGGACGAAGCGGTGAAGTTTAGAATGCGACGAAAATGTTGCGGTACTATTTTTTCGCAGATGATACTACTCTCACCACCACCGAGTCGTCGTCGCCGGCGTCTTCAGCGACCGTCACTACATTACCGCCGGAACGGTCATGTGCCCGGTGGAGCAACACTGCTGCTAGTCGCTGCTAGTCTCCCGAATGTCTCCCATGTTATTTCTGATGTGTTCTACGACATTCCGACGTCCATTATCTTTGTATCTTCAGTTCCTAGTTGCGTATTATAAAATCGTAACACCAATGTGGAAAATTTACAATGTTTCCGGGTATTTTCTTAACGTAAGTGAAGCGCCCATACTCCGTTGCGCATCCATGTTTCACTCCCGTGGTGAAGCGCCCAACGTAGAGCAACAACTCGCGTGGTCTTTCTTTCTCCGTGAAATGAAAGACAGTGCAATTCCATTTCTACTGTATGGAAAAAGCTCTTTGATGAATCAGTTATCCTGAGGTTGGAACTGTGCTCGTCCGCACCTAGCAAACCCCGGATAATAAACTCATCAGAACAACTGCCCCGATTCTTTATTATTCGAAACCTTTTATACATGAATTTGTTACTTAAACTCTACACAATAGTTTTTCTCCAGTATGTACATATAAAGCGAGACAGATAGTTTTTTTCTTGGAAAGTCGGTGTCTGTTTTTTTTAACAAGAATTAATGCTCCTCGCGGTAGGAACGTCTATGTAGGATGCTTACTCATCAATGTTTACTTTGACCTTTCGCGAAGCACCTAGTTAAGCCAGCGCGCATCGCTGACGACGCGGTAGCAACTGTTTATAAACAACTGACCCTGGAAATGTGCGACATTGTCACTGCTGCTGTTAAGTTGTGTATTTTTCTACTACCGTATGGGGGTCTATTACTGGTTAATTTCTTACTCAGATTGATATTGGATTTTGAGGCCTTTGCAGTAAGTGCCTGGTATCTGTGTTCCGAGTATTTTTTAGATTATCGTGGTTTTTTGTTTAGTTCCGTTAAAGTGTAAAAAAATAATGGCAGGTAATGTTCGTGAGTGTTGTGCAGTTTTCTCCGATGTCAAACTCCCTAGTAGGCAGAGGTAGGACAGCTTACTGTAGAACGCAACAATCCACCCCACCGAAAATTGCAAAAACCCGCCACCAGATGGACAAACAACTGCCTGTTGGGAGGCTATGGGGGGTGGCGATAGAGATGGCCATTTTGAATGGAGGATAACGGACACGACAAACTGGCGATGAACGACGAATGGCCCGGGTCACTGGCCGACAGTCTGGAGCAGTGACCCAATGACTCACTCAACTTTGAAATTAATAAGCACTGATCGTAAGACCACCAGCGAAAACGGTTCATCAAGCAAGCAAGCTAGCTAAATTTACGCAAGTAATAGTGGAAACAGTGGAAAAGTGTGAGGAAAGAGTCAAGGACAGCAGGTAAACCGCAATAATTACCATTTTGGTTAAAATGGTCCTAATGCCAAATGTATTTCACCATTAGGACCCCGCTGTATTTAGTACAGATCACCTGTACGCAGTGAAATTCCGGTAGACGTACCGGAAGATTACACCGTCACCGCCTGCCAGCCCGAGTTCGTCACCAATTCATAGACCCAGGAAGTGTAACGTGGTGCTCGTCATCGCCACCACGTACATCAAGCGCGCGAAGGAGGTACACGACGAGGAAGTGGAGAGGAAGCGGACGTCGACCGAGGACAAGCGGTCGACGATCGAAGACACGTGGTGGAGGTGTTGCGAGGGGGACGAAGAAAACAGGTCAGATAGATTGCAAGAAAGTGGGAGAATAAGGGAGTAAAAAGGGAGAATATAAGTTGTCAGGAAAGTTAAATAAATCTTTAATCTTGAGTAGTGAAGTGCATGTGGAGTTTTTCTGTGTGTCACGTGCGATCATTCCCTGCCCCGCGTAATTGCAATCGGTAAGCGTGCCGACCCTGAGGCCATTGAAGTCATGGAGTCTCGAAAGTGCTCCTGACTGAGGTGGCTGACACTTACACATCACTCCATTGTCGTATCGCATGTGCTCCATTTTGCAGCTCATCTTTCACTTTTACTTTGTTGACTCCATAGTACCGGAAAAGATAAAGAATACATTATTAGCAATGATGTGATATAACCACAACGGAATGGCCGTTCAGAATGGTTAAATGGAAGTTAAATAAGGGAACATTTAAATTTAACACGATTTAAAGTGAATTGCACATAACAATATCATCACTTACTTACTCATGAAATCTGCCTCGAGCAACCTGGCAGAACGCGCCCAAAGCCCTCACTGAACCAAAAGGCAGGAACCGCCGTGGTTTGCTTGTAGAAAACCGAAAGGATAATACCGATACAGACAATAGAATGCACGCTGTTGAGGAATCCATGGCGGAATTTGACCGGAAGTTCGCGGTTGCAGTTATGAAACCCAAAATAGGATTGTGTCAACAACAATGATTATAATTTTGACACATGCACAGCGCAAGCGTAGATATAAGGCTTAACTGTATTTGTGGCACACTGTGCGAATTGACCATCCCCTTCAAACCATAAACTTTGAGATTAAGGGGTCCGTGTTTTGACCACTCGTCTGTCAACGCTTGGGGAATCGCATACATAAGACACTAATTAATTCCATAAGTACCACTTATGCCTGATGATCGTGCTACATGAATTTAATTATTTTGACTTATGAATTATGTTTCATAGTGAAGTAATCAAATTGGTTTGTCAGCGGAATGCTTAAATAAAACAGCACATTTTTACCTTGGGCATGCATACTTAAGGGATTAGATTTTGATAAGTTTTTAGAGGGAATGACACTGATGAAGACTGCACATTGTAGTCGAAATACGTATCTGTCATGGATACCAAAATTAGTAAAGTGAAATTAAATGGACGATAACCTTTTTTGCTATTCTATGTTTTATAGGTCAAACTGATGATTTCCCTAATAAATCCTTGTGCCGAAAAATCATAAGTGGTTCTTATATATTTCTTTAGTTTATTTACCTCAGTGGGTCGCATATAAGCTCAGGAAATAAGACACAAAAAAAAGCATCATGTGCCTGTTTTTTACCAGCTAATATTTTGAATTGAATCAATGTCTTCTCATACTATGCACACACAGAAATTAGGGAGGAGACAACTTGGGTGAAAATATTAATATATTTGTGGATATTTTCATTTTCTTGAAAATGTCTTAAAAACAAACAAAAGCTCTGTATTTTACATGTAGTCGATTTTGAAAATACTTTAAGTTTTTCGATGATATTTATAAATATTTGACGAGGGGGGCGACTCTATCTAAGATGCAGGATTTTTTTTTGCTTTGCTGTAGTGTGATGCGTGCGCGCTTAATAGATAGAGAGAAGATTGAGTGAATTTCTCATCTCTTTCGTTCTCCCGTTATTTAAATGGTTGAAGGAGTGTGACGTCAAACTCCGTCATCCATTTAATCAGCCAAAGAACGAAAGAGACGATAAATTTACTGGGCCTTACCTGTTTACGCTCATTGATTTTTCATATGTGAATTTTGTTTTCAAACATAAACAAACCATCGTCTTTGTTGTCGCTTGGAACCAGTTATGCGAGGCAGGTGGCGATTGTTCGTATTTGACAGTCACCTCCTCCCCTCAGATTTTTACACGTTTTGAAAGTCATATTAATGTTAAATGAACCACTAAGCCATCTATTCGATACGAAAATTATTTAACACATTCATCTTGGGCCGTGATATTAATTAAAACTCTACTAAATCAACACTTATTTCACTTTTTCCTTTATTATTTCTTACATCTCAGAGTGTATGTAAAGCTTAGCATAAACATTAAATCCAATAAATAACTGCACATTTCATGCAGAGGACAAAGTTACAACCAATATTGAAAAAACACTTCTTTTTTACCAGCAATGATAAACCTACAGCACGAAGAATAAAAACAACAAGAAAACATTAACTGATCACCAGAAAAGCTCCTGGTTTACCAATTTTTCAAACTTTGCCAATCCACATTCAACAATATTTAGAGATATTTAGCCAACGTAAATAAATGTTTTGAGAAGACGTCAGATTCTACGGTCATCAATCACATTCGAACGCTTTTCCCTCACGCGTATTCTGCAAGCTGCGGAAATATATTAAAATCTTCGACATATCTGCAAACTACGACTTTACCTACAATTTTTAAAATAATGCTCTCTCATTCTGTTAGCTGTTTCTCTGATTCTGTTCTACACAATCGATAAAAATCGCTACTGAAAGGCCGCTTTTCTGTGAGATTACAACTTTCTCTTTCTCTTTTTCGCTCTATCTGCCCTACTATTCTTTGGTTGAGAACTTAATTCTGTTTTATGTTTTGTAACAATTTGCAAAGATTTATTACATGTTGTGACAAAAAATGTTTCGTAAAAATGCTACGTCTGACTAATTTGTTTCTGTTCTTTACTTTGGTATCGTCCTTGTTATTGCACTTAAATGAAATTCGGTTCCCATCCTGCATGGTAAGCCGCCTAATACTTCTTCTTTTGCTTGCTAATTGATTGCTTTTCTATTTGCTTGCATGTTTTTTGTTTTGTTTTGACAGCAGATTTCCTCGAATCAGATAAGTCCAAATTGTTAACAGCATTTTCATTTTCTCTGCTTAAATTGACATTCAAGAGAAAGAATCGTTACGTTTAATTGAATTCAATCGGTCTTACGTGTTTCATTTCACATTGGTATCACATTTATGGGTTTAATTTTATATACTTTTGATTCGTCTTCATCGATTATTGTAAAATCACACGTACTGGGATTCCGGTGTTTTTTTTTCCGGGAGCAATAATTGTCGGGGTTCTCAAACAACCAGAATGTTCAAAAGACGTTTGCTTTCCTCTACTACTTGGGATGAAAAGCGCCAATTTTAGACCCATCAGTCGGTCCATTCTTCAACCGTGTCTTCCTCTTCGAAGAATTCACTTTCCGAGCTGTCCGATTGTCAGCTGTGGCCGGCGATGCGCGACGGGATAATGGATCCCTTCGGAGGACGGGGCAAGCGAATGGTAGTTCTGGTTCCGGATACACTTGCAATCAAAGTCTGCGTCGACGGAGGCCGTTCCAAGCAGAGACAGCACCAGGTATCGCACCGGATGAATAGGAAGAGACCTGTTGGGAGGGGTCATTTTTGAGGTTATTAATAATCGTTAACCATATGGAAGTTATCAAAGTTACCTGCCACGAACCATAACAGCAAAGCAGGCCACGATTGGAGGAAAGAAGCAGAATATAGAATTGCCGATCCAAGGAGCGCAACCGTACAGGTGAGAGTTGCCGGTGTCGTCGAAGTTGTCTGGTCGTACTTTGGAAACAGCATCAAAATGGCGGACGGAATAAAGACCACTGGAATTTGGACCACAATATTCAAAAAGAAACTTTTTTTTTTGCAAATCAAGAACTTACGATTAACTCCAACGATAATGGCGTTGGTTTCCCAAACCATGAGTCCCAGTGAAGTGAGCACACTCCCTGTCAAGATCAACGCGATGAAAACCATCGTCAACTTCCAGCTGCCAGCCGAAGGTAGTCTCAGCGTGTTGTTGTCCAACGGTCCAGCCGCGGACACTTTTACCTTCTGGCGGTACTCATCGACGATGGCGTCGATATCGGTGCTGCTATCCTCATCGCTGTCAGTGTTCTCCGGTTTTGCCAATGCAATGCATTCAATGTCGGAAACCTGATCCGAGAGGATGGTCGATTCTACGTTGGGTGGACTATCGGGAGCTTTCGGGGAAGGAGGTTCTCCTAGAAGCAACCACTCACGCTCGTGCTCCTCGCGAGAACCATTCTTGTTGGCACGGTTGTTCGGCAGCATGTGGTGAGCTAACGAGGCCGTCGAAGGCTTACGGAAGAACCAAACCGATTTCTTCGACTTCATTGAGGTCGATTGTGACGGGACGGGTTTCGGTGTGGTGTTTAGTCTGCTGTACGCCAAGGAGGATTCATCTGTGGGAAAAGACACATAACTGTATGGGAATTCGCGATGTTGAGGCGAAGAATTTGGAGTATTGCAGAATAATGCATCTTAACAAAGTTGGTATTTTTTTTGTGGATATTTAAGAACTTTTGTTAATTGAGTTTGTTAGCAGGCATGGAAAATCATTTGCATTCATTTCATACATTCATTTACATTCATTTGCCTCTTACTTTTTTCATCAACAGCATTCTGCAAAATAATGTAAAGAGCTTTTGTAGGTATTGTTATTAGCTACAACTTTTGCTCAGAACTTAAATCTGTATCTCTGATGCATGACGAACCAGAGCGAACAGAAGCCACTACTGTTTTTAAGTGAATGTATTTTACATTCACTGAAAAACATTAACAAGTTCTGCCCGCTCTTGTTCGTGATGCATAAGAGATACAGATTTAAGTTATGAGCAAAAGTTGTAGCTAATAACAATACCTACAAAAGCTCTTTACATTATTTTGCAGAATGCTGGTGATGAAAAAAGTTAGAGGCAAATGAATTTAAATGAATGTATGAAATGAATGTAAATGATTTTCCATGCCTGTTGGTTAGTATTGAGTTAATTGTAGTACCACAGACAAGTAGACATAACACATTGAATATTTTTCAATATAAAACATAGTCACTAAAACACTACCGCCATCTTTCAAGTATACTGTGATACACAGTACGTTGAACAGATGGCGGTAGTGTGTAAACGTCAAACCCAAGGGAATTGACTAAAGGGTGATACGGTCAAAATTTGGTCAATATCAACTTGACGTATTTCTTTCAATTTTGCATTTAAAAAACCTGAACACCCCTCATTTTGAAGGTGTGTGTGTGTAGAATGTTGCTCCTATTTTGATTTTGGAATTCACTCTTCAGTTGTCAAAATGCCGTCCAAGCAAGAAGAGCAGCGTATCAAAATTTTGCTCGCGCATCGCGAAAATCCGAGCTACTCTCACGCAAAGTTGGCAAAATCGCTAAAAGTTGCCAAATCAACCGTTACAAATGTAATTAAAGTGTTTGGGGAACGTTTGTCGACAGCCAGGAAGTCTGGATCGGGGGGAAATCGAAAACCGGAAGCCGCTGAGACGACAAAGAGAGTTGCCGGTAGTTTCAAGCGAAACCCTAACCTCTCTCTCCGAGATGCCGCAAATAAGCTGGGTGTATCGTCTACAACCGTGCATCGAGCCAAAAAACGAGCCGGACTATCGACTTACAAGAAGGTAGTGACTCCAAATCGCGATGATAAACAAAATACGACGGCCAAAGCGCGATCCCGGAGGCTGTACACGACGATGCTGACGAAGTTTGACTGCGTGGTAATGGACGACGAAACCTACGTCAAAGCCGACTACAAGCAGCTTCCGGGACAGGAGTTTTATACGGCAAAAGGAAGGGGAAAGGTAGCAGATGTTTTCAAGCACATGAAACTGTCAAAGTTCGCAAAGAAATATCTGGTTTGGCAAGCCATCTGTACCTGTGGCTTGAAAAGCAGCATTTTCATAGCTTCCGGGACTGTCAACCAAGAAATTTACGTGAAAGAGTGTTTGAATAAACGTCTGCTGCCTTTCCTGAAGAAACACGGTTGTTCCGTACTGTTTTGGCCGGATTTGGCATCTTGCCATTACGGTAAAAAGGCCATGGAGTGGTACGCCGCCAACAACGTGCAGGTGGTTCCCAAGGACAAGAACCCTCCCAACACGCCAGAGCTCCGCCCAATTGAGAAATACTGGGCTATTGTCAAGCGGAACCTAAAGAAGACCAAAAAAAACTGCTAAGGGCGAGCAACAGTTCAAGGCAAACTGGCTTTCTGCGGCGAAGAAGGTGGACAAGGTGGCTGTACAAAATCTGATGGCAGGGGTCAAGCGTAAGGCCCGGCAATTCGGATTTGGAAAAGTGGAAGCCTAACTGAATATTTTTCCTGAATTTTATACTAATTGAACTTGAAAAAGAAATTTAATTTGATTTTTTAAATAAACGATTTCACCTATTTACACGCGTTTTCCCTTGACCAAATTTTGACCTATCACCCTTTATGCGTGCCACAGGAGGCGGTACTACCAACTAAATAAACATTTAAATTGACCGTTAAATGTGTGTTCGATGAACAACTTGCGAGCGTTATGTCTGTTTATCTGTGGTAGTAACATTACCCTATATGTATTTGAGCAGCTCCACGTCAAATGACGAATCAGGAAAACTCGCACCTCTCCAATTTGCATAAAACTTTGCATAATCATGTGTTATGGGCAATCATTCACATTTTTACAAAAAAAAATTGTTTATCCTTTTTGGCCTGGAACTGGTCATTTAATAAATCTAGATAGAGCTGGAATTAGGGCGTAACCGTTTTTATAAAAATGACTTCTATCAATGATTTCTAGGAATTCAAGGCACGCCCACGCAAACCAACATAGCCATCGGTTAGAGGAAGTCTTCCCCTACCTGATTAAGATGTTGGTTTGCATGGGCGAGCCTTGAATTTCTAGAAATCATCGAGAGAAGTCATTGTTTACAAAAGCTGTTACGTCCTAGTTCCAGCTCTACCCAAAACTTACTCTGTTGCTCCATATACTGCGGCCTGAATGGGATGTACAGCAGATAGAACGCCCTCAGGAACGCCGCCATCAGATGACTGGCCGCTAAAATGTACGTCAAGTTTTCCATCGGACAGGCAAATGCCAACATCGCGCACAGACTGCCTCCGGTGAACACTGCCAGTATCGGGCTTCCACTATCCCGGTTTTCGTATCCGATCTGTTTGGCAAGGATTTTCCAATCCGACGTGGCCAGCTGCACGATCTGGTAGAACATTTCCGGAAACAGCTCCAACAAGGCACCGGAACAAGTCAACACCAAAAGGCAAGCCACTGCCGCAATCGCCTTGTGAAAGTCCTTGTTCTCCAAAATAGACAGCATCGGGACGGCTTCGTAGTCGTGACTTGCGCTACGATAAAAAAAAGGAAAAATGAAAGCAAACACAAAAAGTCAAGATGCTTCGACATACGCCCACGCATGGATCCCTCCGATGGGCCACGATTCATTACCTAAACTTTATCACCGCCGTTAAGCACGCACCAATTAGTTCGTTCGATAGCAGCACCGCCAAGATAACGGCTAATCCCAACAGTCGTTTACAGTAATTGCCATTTAGGAGGTCGTTCGAGAAGCTAAAACTAGCTAATGCTGCGCCGGAAAGAAGCTGCCAAAAGGAAGAAAGACGCAAAAGACAGGCGTTATTTTTTTCCTCTGCAGAGTGGTTAATAGACCGGATTTGTAAACCCACCCCCACAACTCCCTTTGGAAGAATCGCCTCGCTGGTAAACAGCTCAAAATTCCCTCGCAATCCTGCGACAACACCGATAACCGTTGTCAACGCCATCACTCCGGACACCATGAGGAAGCTGAAAATTTTCGTATTCTCTAATCCAAGCATAAACATCCCCGAGAGGAGGAAAATCACCACCACCCCAATCACGTCTGGCCAGGGCTCGTTCGCCGGTGAGTTGCGACCTGTGCGGAATGAGACAATGCTTCATCTAAATCAGCAGCACGAAAAAGTTTTAATTGAAATCCGCACTTACCAAGAATGTACATCCTAGCGAGCCCTCCGGTCATGGCATCGAGCGAGGAGCTGAGTGTTCTCACGAGCACGGCACAGGCCGAGAACAGGGCCAGGATATCCATCCACTTGGACAGAAACAAACAGAAGAAATCCGCCCGGTGGGTGGTACGAATATAGTAAATTTGGAGCGACTTGACGCTCGACTTGCACACACCTGCAATGGAAAAGTTTGCTCAATTTTGGCCGTCGTTTTAATCAAAACCTAATCCCAGCAGGAGGGTGGATACATACCGGAGAAAATGGCGAAGACGGCTGCGATGGCCATGCTTATCATTGTCCCGGGGCCACCGGTTTCGTTGTATGCGATCAGATGCGTCAGGATCAGCGTTCCCAAGGCCCAACGGCCACCGGTTCCGTTCACTACAGCGCCGCCAATGGACCATGATGGGAGGACCCTGGTGAAAGAAGTGCACTTCAGTTAGCTGTATTCATTTGATTAACGGAGATAAATCGGGTTTTGATGCTCTCGACATGGTCAAGAGTGATGCATTTTGGATTGAAATCAAAGACTAGATATAAACAAATCTTTATTTTTTTTTAAATAAAATTTGACTCAAATGAAATTCGAATGAAAATATGACTTTAAGTTTAAGTTTAAGTTTCAATTTATTTATCAATAAATCATAGCACGAAAACAGCTCACCACTCGTAATGTTATCTGAGAAAAAAATTAGATGCCAACCGGCCATCATGAAAAAAAGCTCGATTATGCAGATTTATAAGTTTGCAGAGAAGTTTAAAAAATCTTATATTTTTCTAATGAAGTACTTTAAATTAATTTGAGTGTTACTGTGGGTGATAAAAAGTCGAATTCTAGCTTTATGATCCACTTTCTTCAGATATTAAAAAAATATATATTTAATATAATACGTCTATCCTTGTGTAAATTGCATTGACATGAATATACAAATTGCACTTGAGAGCACTTGTGAATTTATGTTGCTTATAAGTAGAACTTAAAACTTTCCGATGAAAGCATTTAGCTAAGAAGTCACATACATACATACATAAAGTAAAGATCTAAGACTTAATTAAATTTTCCGAATTCTGTGGCTTAGTAAAACATCGAAGACCCCAGAATATTAAAAAAATATTAGAAAAGCTTTCCCAAGCTTTGAAGAAATAGCAGATCTTGGGGAAAAATGATCTAGATCCTAGACATAGAATATAATTTTAATGATTCTAGGATCAGACAAATTCCAATTTTCATGTTCTTGAAATCCAGTGTTCACTCGGCTGTCGACAGAAGCAGGCCACTCTCGATGTGTGTTACTCGGAAGCAACCATTGTGTGGTCTTACTCATTGTTCTTCCTCACCAGTTCTTTCGGTCGATGCATCGTCGACTATAGAAAGCAACCGCTGACCACGTTTTGTGTCCATTGGAAGCGCTTATCCCCTCGTTGGCAATACTATCTTACAATGAAACCACTGGAAGCGGATCCCGTTCTGATGGAGGAGGCTTATTGGATAGCGGAAGATAAATGTTTTTAGACAATAACACCTCAATGAGTTAACGACCTTCTCAATTGATGAATTTACGTTACGGTCGACCAGCAGATGGAAATGATGTGAAAATGATAATGACGTTTAGCTACCTGTCAAATCGTATGAAATATTTTTTAGTACATCCTCACTTTTGTGGTTTTGGATTTCAAACCTAGGTGTCGCATGCACTGGTGCAGTTTCGCGTAAATTCATCAATAATAAATTATGGATTTCTGGCATCAAAAATAGTGTTGATTATTCACCACTTATTATGATAACTACATTATTTATTAGTTCGTTATTCGTGGAACATCTAAATATTATTTTTTGTATCTTTCCTCTTAAGTCAATATCATTTTGAGCTTGATTTTCATACCTGGATTTGGTATTCATAAGTTGTTTTATCCTGCTTGGCTGGGCATCATTTCTCAATATTATGAAATGTACAACATGACCCAAGAAACCCTCCCTATTATCAACTTGTATGATTTATTGTTTCTAGTTTTCAAAGCTTTGGTGTTCGATACAAATACAAAACGTCTCTGAGCCAAGGGCTCCCTTCAAATTGAGGGCCCTGGCTTTAACCCACCATCGCCTTAGCGTTAATACGGCACTGCTTGAGGTTTTAAACGCTTAACGAAAACGAAACTTAATCGTACTCGAAATTTCTAAAAGCTTAGGTTAATCATGCGCTAAGTGACCTATGCTTTTAAAAATGTCTCCATACGAATGAGTAAAAGTAACTCACTCTCTGAGTTAATTTCTGTCTTTACTGAAGTTATTCAGATGAACTCTCATATCTGTCAATCACCCATATTCTTAGCTTTGTTCGAACAAAAATTATGGGAACGGTCGTGGAAAATCCAGGCCAGTCCCACAGGTGGATTGCGAAAAAGTTTGGAATCGACAATTCGACCGTGTCCCGTGTGGTAAAATCGATAAAGGAGACCCAGACGACCCCGTGAACGCTAGGAAGGTGAGGAATTACTTCAAGCGCAATCCGAACCTTTCGATTCAGGACATGGCCAAGAAGGTCAATTCTTCCGTCTGGTTCGTCCAGTGGACAATAAAGTGGGCCGGATTTCATGTCTTTAAGGTAAGGAAGGCGCCTAACCGAACTGATAAACAGAATACGGTGGTCAAATCCCGTGCCTGGAAGCTGTACCGCGAGTGGTTGGTGCAGCCGAAATGCATCGGAATGGACGACGAGACGTACATTAAAGCGGACGCCAAGCAAATCCCTGGCCTGGAGTTTTTCGTCGTCAAATCCTGCCTGGATGTTCCGGAAAACTTCCGGAGGAAGTACGTCGACCAAGAAGTACTTAGTGTGACAGGCGATCTGTGAGTGTGGCAAATTCAGCAAGCCGTACATAACGACCGGCACCATCAACGGCCAAATACATAAAGAAGAATGTCTCCGGAAGCGCCTGCTAGCCTTCCTCCGGTCCCACGAAGGTGACACACTGTTTTCGCCGAGTCTGGCATCGTGCCGTCAAACTCGTCAGAACTTCACCCAATAGGAAAATTCTGGGTGATTATGAAGGGCAAGCTCCGGAAAACAGAGAAGGTCTTCAAAAACGACAAAAATTTGAAGAAAGAGTGGGCGAAAGTGTGTAAGACAGATGCCGCAAGTGTTGCACAGGATTTGATGGGTAGCGTTAAGTCCAAGATGCGGGCATTTTGCCTAGAAGAGAAGGTTGAATAAACCAACTTTAGAAAAAACATAGCTAATATGTGTTTATTTATTCCCTGAGAGTTTCAAAAATATCCGACTTAAAATGAATTTTTGGTGATCATTTTTGCCTGCTGCATTTTTTTTTCGAGTACAGTCTTTACTAGGTTTCAAAAAGGAAGCTCTAGACTTGTGTGGAAATATTATAAGTTGAGTTTTGGAAGCGTTGGGAGAAATCTTCCATTTTTGTAAATAAGAAGAGAAAATATCTAAACTTTTCTGCAGTCTGCTGCAAATAACACGAAGACTTTTTCCTTTAGTGGAAATGCCTGTGTCACCAGCGAACAAAAATTTGTGGCAAATCAGGGAGGTCCGTAGTGAAAAATTTAAACAATATAGGGCCAAGAATGCTACCCTGAGGAACTCCAGCTCTAACAGGAAGTAGAAACGCAACTCTAGTTGAGCACCCTTCAGATTTGTTTGAACAAATTAAATTGGTAACTCTTAAGAGTTGATGAGTAGTTAAATGCCCATGGCGGAATCCAAACTGCTTATCTGCAAAAATCAAGTTCGTATTGATGGGAAGCGTCATTTCATTCAAAGTTATTTTTTTTTCAAAAAGTTTACTTATTGTATAAAGCAAACTTATTGGACGGTAGCTAGAAACTTCAGCTGGATTTTTGTCCGGCTTCAAAAATGCAACAACTTTTGCATTTTTTCATTTATCAGGAAAGTATGCCAAATGGAACCATCTGTTATATATTTAATTTTACCAAGAAAGACAAGGTACTCTCTGGGAGTTTTTCATATTATGAAACATTTTAGTTATAGATCTTAATTCTTCTAAATCAGGAATCATCAAAAATATTTTTCCGAGAGAAAATATTCAGATAATCCAGAGCAACCTGATTTTCAATAGGACTAGTAAGACCCATACTGAAATTATGGGTACTCTCGAATTGCTTAGCAAGTTTCTGAGCTTTTTCCAAATTTGTGAATAAAATGTTACTATGTACCTTCTTTAAGCGCTGGAATAGGCTTTTGAGTTTTTTTCTTCTAAATTTGAAGGTTTGGAGTTCGGGTCTAATTTAGAAACATTATTTTCAAAAGTTTTGTTCATCAGGGCAGAGAATCGCTTTTTAATTTGTTTTTGCAAATCCCGCCAAATAATTTTCAGGGCAGAATTGCGTGTTCTTTGATATTGCCTCCTACGGACATTTTTCAGATGGATCAAGAGCTGAAGAATATCTTCAATTATAATTGAAGCGAATTTAACCTCGCATTTTGGTACTGAGGCAGCTCTTGCTTCAACTATAGAAGTAGTCAGAGATTCAAGAGCACAATTAATGTTATTTCAAGAGCCACATGTGAAAAGGGCCTACAAGTTTTTTGTAAACAAACCTTTGTAGGCCCTTTTCTCGCCAACCGAGGGTCGCCCACGCAAACCAGGAATATCATCGGGAACGGGAAAGTGTCCCCTACCCGGTGATGTTAAAGGTTTGCGTTTGTGTCATATGGGCGAGAAAAGGGCATAAGAAGGTTTGTTTACAAAAAGCTTGTATGCCCTTTTTACATGTTGTTCTGGATTTGTGGTTTGCAAACAAATGTATGGATCAAAGCTATACTCCGTAAATGTTCGATATTGCTCCCAATCAGCTCTATGGTAATTGAAAGTAGAGCTGTTGGGATTACAAATTATTTCTTGAGATATTTCAAAAGCTATTGGAAGGTGATCAAAATCAAAGTCAGCATGGGTAACCAAGTAGACATGAATCAGTTAAGACCAAATCAATTATTGAGGGATTTCTCGCCGAAGAAAAGTATTTTGGGCTGTTTGTATATTTAGTAGTGTAATAACCTGCAGAACAACCATCAAACAATATTACCATTGAAATGACTTTGAAAATTATTCCATGAGTGGTGTTTTGCATTAAAATCACCAAAAATGAAAAGTTTAGACCTATGACGGGTAAGTTTCTGAAGGTCACCCTTGAGCAAAATTCTTTTGCTGGCATATGCATTGCAATGACAAATAGGCAGCTATAAACGTAAGTTGTCCAAATTTTGTTTCGACAGGTTCGACTTTGGTTTCAAATGAAGACTTTGATGTTTGACACGTCTATGAACAATGATGGCAACGCCACCACAAGCTCCACCAAGACGATTATTTCGATAGTTCGTCTTCATTGTCTTTAAAGATCGAACATTCCAATTAAAAATATTTAATTAATTAAAATCCATTACTGAATTTCAAAGTCATGACGATATTGTTGGCAATAGCAGCATACACTTGCTGAACTTTGTAAGCAGCAGGTCTAGATGAAGAGTTTGAAACAGGGGAGCTATTTGTACCTACCTACAAATGCATAATTTGTTCCTCGCTGACCGTTATTAACACTTGTCGCTTGCAGTGTTGGAAAAGTTCGTGATATTTCATGAAGTTCACCAAGGGAAAAGTTCGCGAGTCATAGTGAGTTTTTGCGAACTTTTCCATCACTGGTCGCTTGGAATGAGAATGTAGGATCGCAAGTCTTACACTCCCAAAAATTGGTATTGTGGTTTTCACCACAATTTGAACATTTAATTTTTTAAGGATCTTCCTTCACAGGACAGTCGTCCTTAGCGGGAGAAAAATCACCACAATTCATGCATTTAGCTGGCATTTAGCATTTTTTAGTTCCGTGACCCCATCCCTGGCACTTAAAATTTTCTCCAGACTTCCTGAAGTATTCCTATTTTACCCGGACATGAATCATAAGGATAGCTTTTTCTAAGGCCTTATGGTTATTTAGTTCACTAGGGCTAAATAAAAGTCATTAGAAATACCGTTGCGCCAATCGCCAGGACGGGATTTTATTTTCATTTTGATTACTTGGACTGGCTCCAATTAATTTTTAATTCATCTTTGATATTCACCACTGGGCAGGCCTTTCAAGACAACCTTGAACAGACGTTCAGTGTTGATGTCGTAAGTGCAAATTTGGTGTTGCTTCTAAGGAAAATACTGGAGAAGATAGTAGAAGAGGCTAATTTCTAATAACATACTAGAGTGGTAATTTTAATACGATAGATGAGGAGATGAAAGTTTAGAGTTGATAGTTCCGTTAGAGTACGGCAGTGTGGAATTGTTTGTATAGAGAGTAGAAAGCGAGCAAGGATAACTATTATGAATGAAGGTACAAATCGGTTTGATCATCTCTCTTTACCAAACTCCTCCGTCGGAGAGGGATGGTGAAGAGATGATCACCGACACGCTCAAGTACCGACGATGTGTTTGAAACAGTTCTACCGATTTTTACCACACTCAAGTTGTTATCTGAAGGAAGGCATCCAGTCGTAGGTTTGGAAATTGCAGCTATTGTTATCTCTAACACGGAATACCCCTCACCATCCCTCTCATACGGAAGAGTTTGGTAAAGAGAGATGATCAAACCGATTTGTACCTTCATTCATAAAAGTTGTCCTTGCTCGCCTTCTACTCTCTATGTAAACAATTTGACACTGCCGTGCTCTAACGGAACTATGAACTCTATACTTTCATCTCCTCATCTATCATATAAAAATTACCACTCTAGTCTGTTATTTGAAATTAGCATCTTTAACTATGTAAATCGTTGACTTCACGCAGAAGTAATATAAAAAAAAATAGTTATAGTACTGGAGAAGATGTTTGAATCTGACCAAGGTTTCAGCCAATACATGGAATACCCAAATGGCCAATTTGAAGTGAAAACTTGAATTTAACGAAGTTCAAAAGTTCCGTGCGAAGAGCATGGAAATCAGAAGTGGTTATTAGTGATCCTAATAACTCAGCGGCAAATGTTTTTTTATGTAGTATTGCTTGTGGAAACCGAAATCACGGATTAATCTAGTTCGTTCTTGGTAGTTGAAATTGAGATTGCTCATCAGTTGGAGGATTTTCTAAAATCAGTGCACAGTGGTCTACAATGGGAGTTTAGCTGGAAAGACGCTTTTAGAGCATGAAATCAAAACATTAGAAAAAAGTTCAAAGTTGCTGCTTACAGTTAAGCCCACATTTTGGTGTCAATTGATACTAGGGTGGTTCTAGTACTCATTGAAATAAAAAATGAGGTGAAAATTCTTCGAAAAAGTTGTAGCGCAGACAGTTTACGGGGAGACACCTGTTAAGATCTCTAAAGAAAGGGTATTTTTGTTAATTTTTTTTTTGAACATTAGTATAAATGCAATCACTTTGGGTTTTCAGTATTGTAGTAGATAGAGTTAGTGTAGAATAAATAATGAGTAGAATCGAGTGAGCGACATTGACGGAAGAACACTGAGACTGCTCGTGTGACTGAGTGAAATTTTGCGGAAAGGTCATGACAGGCAATTTTTGTAAACAAAACAAATCACGGTGCCAAATCGTCTGATAATATTTCCGCAAATCTCGGTTTATAGGATTACTAGTGATTACCACAATAGGGGGAATCTTTTCTTTTTCATTGGGCCGAGAATGTTGAATGGAATTTTGCCCGATAATGGATCATTTTCATCATCCGTGAGCAAATCAAATTGATTACTTAAATAAATTTCATCAGAAGGGGGATCAAGAGATTGCCCTTCTCTTTTGCGTTTAGGCAGTAAAACGATTCTCTAAATAGATTTCCAAGCAGATCGCTTTAAGAATCCGAAGGATCGAATAATAATTTTACAAATCGATATACAAGCAGGGTAGGGTCCAAACAAAGATCGAAGAGGAATAAGAGTGGAAAAGGTAGAAAATTTGCAGGTAATATTGAGCACTGAAAAGTGCTGTTTAAATTTGTTGTAGCTTTAGGTAGCAGAAGCAAAAAAGCAATAGATCCACACGGCAAGAGAGCACAGTGCAGACTGATTCCGTTTAGTGTGTGTAATTTATATCCGGTACAAAACTTCAGGTAAAATTTCAACATCTGTTGAAGTGTTAATTAGCCTTTTGCACGTGATGAACTAGCCTACGGCTAAAAATCACGGAAAAAAGCTGTTTGATTTCACTTGGCAAATATCTTTACAACAGAATTCATGTTATTTTCAATTAATTCGGCAGACATTCAATCAGCTGACCGCATTAATCAGCCTGAATAAATCAACTGCAATTCTCGTCATATTTCGAATCAACAACCTTCCCATCATCATCATTTATGAAGCAGGCAGTTGACGTGATCATTTGCTCAGCGTGATGTAATAGTTTCTCAGAACAAAACAAGACTCCCTGCGGTATGAAATGTGTATATTAGGGTGGGTCAACTTTACAACGCCCTGTTCTCCAATTGCTCTTTCGATCTGAATTGAGCTCCCCAACAACTGTGCCAAATGTAAACGAATATGGTTAACTTGGAGAACTTTATCATTTGTATGGGAAAATGTGTCGGAAACGGAACAAAACTATTCATTTGCATGTCGAAACACTTAGATTGAAAAAATTGACTATTGCATCACCTTGATATGTTTAGCATCACCACACGTATTCACATTCTCTTTGGGTGATGCTAAACTTTTCAAATTGATGCGTAATATTCAATATGAGTGTTGCAATACTTTTTCAAGTGATTCCATACGTATGACAGGTAGGTGACCACTTAGCCTACATTGAAAAATAGTAAGTGTTTGTACAGAAGTCTAATCAATTTGCAGTCTTCGACAATGTTGTTCTGAATAGTTGTCCCAAGCTAAGTCTCAGAGAACATTTTTTTTTGAATTTCCGACAAACAACTGAATAGTTTTGTTTCATTTCCCATACATTTTCCGATACAAACTTTAAAGTTCTCCCGCAGTTCCAGAGCGTAACAAAATTCGTTCATATTTGGCACAGTTTTTGGGGACCTTCATAAAGATTGAAAGAGCTATGGGGAGTAGGTGGTTGTGATTCTCCAAATATACTTGACCCACCCTAGTGTGTACGTTGAATGTGTACACATACCTATACATTTATAGCAGCACTTAGAACCGACTGAGTTGAACAGCAACAGCAAATGCAATACTTACATGTTTGGATGCTATTAGCCGGGGTAGCCGCCGATGAAACCCCAATGCCTACAACGTCAAAACTCGCCAAGTTTCCAGCAGCTCTGTTCCGCTACTTGTGCCTTTTTTTCCGACCACACACACTGTGCTGTAGCAGCCTGGCACAAGCTGATTTATATTTAATCACTATTTAGCTTCTGTTTCGGGGATCTATTCCGCTTTCACCACACTCGTTTCTCAGCACGCAAACTTTCGATCCTTCTTTGGGTTCTATTTTCCCTTTGACACACCGTATTTCCGTTCATTTTCGTTTGAGTTTCATTTTTCCTTGAGTTCCACTAGCGGGCCCGAGGCAGGTTCAGGTGCACATTTCGAAGAAAACTGTTGAAACGGGTTCTGTCACGTAAGAAAAATAGAATTGTTTTATTGCGACATGAAATCAATGTGCAGCCGAAAGTGACTCGATAAATTCTGATTTGCTTATCCGAGCCAGCTGAAGGGGGTGAGCTGGTGATTTCGGAGAACATTGTGTTGATACAAACAAAAAAAAAAAATGAGAAAACGAGCCCACAAGGTCGAGGAGAGGAAATCGAACGTCAAACAGTAGGCGAAAATGATATTTCCAGTCAACTTAGGGCAGGAACTTTCCGCAGTTGAAGCTTCCGCCGAGCTGTTCTGTTTTCTTTCTTGTTTATTCTGACGATTTCCATCCTACAACGCGAATTAGGCTTAGCAGCTTTGCTGCCATCCCGGGCCGGAAAATACAAAAGTGCTTTACACCCACAGTGTCATCCGTTCGGCTTGTTGAGGGTTGTGTTGGCGTGGAGACGCGCGATGCGTTATGCAAACATCAATGCTTTTTGCCTCAATCTGCCGCTGCCTACCGATATCGGATACTGTAAGAGAACTGAGCTTCAGTGTTTTTCTCTGAACTCTGATTATTTTTAACAGGGAGGCAGCATTCTCCCCCCGGACCCATCCGTTTCCATTCGCGTCGTTCGCTATTGAGCCTACTTGACGCTTTCGCATGGGGTGCCTCAGTGTATTGGTAGCGGGGAAAATGGCATCAAAGCAATCGAGATTCCACGCGTTGTGCCGCACGTCTGAATTGCGTTGGTCTTTTTGTGTAGCCACGTAGACACTTTAGGGGGGGGGGGGCGTCGTTGATTGTCTATGGTCCATACTAATTTCCAAAGATGTGTGTGGACGATTGTCTACACTGGGCTAGGCGGGAGGGGGGGGGGGTCTAAAGCTACTCAGAAAGTGTCTACATAGTTTATGAACAGCCCCTTTCTGCCTGTTCTCGAAGTAATAACACTACCGTTTAGATTCTAATGGCTTGGTGTGGTAAATGCGGTTGTATAACTTCCGATTTGTGGCTTTAGGATTGTTATTTTTTCCCGATTGGAACTGTTTTTTGCGACGTTAAAGTAACGGTCGGAATGTTGTTGTTTTTTAATTCAATTCGGCTATAGAATGCTATGGACTGATTTAGAATGCTCAGATTATTCTGAAGTACTGATCCTCAAATTTACACATTCAACGGAGACTTACGAGATATGTTTTCAAAATATTAATATTCAATACTGCTCCTAGAAGTTAAACACATCATATGAAATACAAATCAGCATATACAAGGCAATATATATTCTCCAAATCGTATGAAGTAAATAATTAGGTACTGCCAGAGAAAGTACCAAGCTGGACTTTAAGAAAATACTAAGATGATTCTAAGGAAATTCTTTTTAAAAAATCTGTGAAGGGTTTCATAATAATACAGATATAAACAAATTGTCAAGATCCTAGAGCTCGATTCAAAGTAAATCTGGACGCACGGTTTAATACACCACCGTGCCCCTGGGGGTTGGAACAAAAAACGTTTGACAGGCATTTGTTGATGTTTAATTGACGAAGAAATTGGTGAAAAGTTTTTCTCGATTGATCGACGCATCCCGAAATTACGGATCATGGAACTTGAAAAAAGAAAATTAATTGTGCACAAACATCTAGAGAATCCTTCATGGTCTGCCTCAAAAATAGCAATAGTGTTAAAATTCCCAAAGTCAACGGTGAGTCTTGTGCGCATCTATCATAAAAGTGGCACTAGGGACAAAGAGCTGAGGAGAAAGGTGCTAAGGTACGTGAAAGCAACCCAGGTGTCTCCATACGGTATTTGGCAAAGAAATACGATTCCAACTTTTCCACCGTGCGTAACATCCTTTCAAGAGAAGGATATAAGTATTTTTGTGCCAGTAAACATTCGAATCGCTCCCTGAAATAAAATTCAGTGGCCAAAAAGCGAGCACGATTATTATACGAACAAGTTTTGACGAAATTTGATGGCTGTATTTTAATGGATGACGAAACATATGTCAAAATGGAATATAAACAAATCCCCGGACGAAAAATTTAACTGGCATCTGGTCGTGGCGATGTCCCTTCCAGGCATACATTTGTTTTTGCTGATTTGGCAAGGAATATGCAGTTGTGGCCTTAAAACCAAGGTTTTCATCACATTTCACACAATGACGTCGAAGGTTTACATTAAAGAGTGTCTGAAAAAGCGGATTTTACCCTTCATTCGGCAACACAAGACCAACGTTATGTTTTGGCCGGATCTAGCCAGCTGCCACTACTCTAAGGAGGTACTTGAATGGTATGCTGCAAACAATGTTAATTTCGTCGCCAAAGAGATTAATCCTCCGAATTGCCCTGAGTTCAGACCGATCGAAAAATATTGGGCAATTGTCAAGCGAAAACTTCAAGGATGCGGTAAAGAAGTGACAAATGCACAACAAATGCGTTTAAAGTGGAATAAGTTCGCCGGTACAGTGTAACCAGCGACTGTGCAGATCATGATGGCATCGATCACAAGTAAAGTGCGACAGTTCGTTCGAAACGGTGAAATGTAATAACTTGTTATGTATCGTTTGAAAGCTGAATAAATACCCTTTTGTTTGACATTTTGATTAACCGTGTATGTGTTTAATTCTTGAGTTATGATCACTTGAATCCGTCCAAATTTACTTTGAATCGGGCTTTAGAAACAGAAACAAATTATCATGATCCAGGTTCGGGAAAGTAAGATTTCGAGACTTCGAAAAATTTGTAAATTCTCTTGTTAAGAAGGTATTTAAATATAACAGTTCGTCAAGACTCTGTGATTCGAATATTCGAAAACTGGCAACGGTTTCGTTCGAATTTACTATTTTATAGAAGCTGTCAAAATGTAATCTTGTATAAAAACTCGAATTGTGTTTACCAAAATATGCTTCAATTTTCAAATATATTCATACGGCTTGAAATATTTTCAAAATGTCTGCGATAGCAAAATGTCTTCATAAAAGTTCAAATGTCTTCAAAATGAAGAGAACGTGTCCATTCTGGCATCCCTGTATATGGCTTGAATCAAGTTCAAGCAGTGAAACTAACTTCCTGTTAAGGAAAATTAGACTGTCATGCAAATTGTGGGGAGCACTACCCAACTAACAATTTTCACAATGTAAACGCTTTACTCATTTCATTTATACAGCCTCAAGCTGTATTCAAACGTTATACGATATGGGGAAACCTTTACTCAACCTCTATACAAGCAAATCTGGCGAACTTAGTCAGCTACTTATGGCTGTTGGAACGGTTGGGAGAAGCTCTTATTGCATATCCATTAACGCTTCTATACAGCTGTTATCCTGCTGTTTAGTTGTGTGTGAACTTGAAAGGCGCTTATTCAACCTTTTCCCGGTTATCCAATAATCACTACACAGCTTTCTCTTGAAGCCGGATTAAATACTGTTTACGCTTTTTTATGAAGGAATTTATTGAGTTTATTTTGCTGTGAATCAAATTAATCGAAATTAGTTACAAATCATCACCAAATTATTTACCCTGCACCGGAGCCTGGAATCGAACTCGAGACGACCTCATTGGCAAACCTTGACACTACTGTGGATTTCCACCTGGTTCAAAGGAGAATCCCCCAACGCTGTAGCTTGCAGCTAAATTGTTACTTACCTCTTCGAGCTCCTGGGAATGAAAGGCCATGAGTTCTGGGTTTTCAAATATACGAAGCATGGCCTACTTAGATCAAATCGACATAGAGTGTCCGTCGACTTTAGCTCCGTATACATTTCTACCGAATCATTAATACAGCTCATTTCACACTTTCCTAAGCTCATGACTGTATACCGCACAACTACCAACTGTGCTACGCCAACACTTTGAACTTATGTAAACAAATCAACATTCCCTTCTACAACAAAATCGCTGAGTAGAGGCTTTATAATAGTGCACACGAATCACTTTTCTCGACTAGTTATAAAACAGCAGAGTAAAAGCTGTAAAACTGCACACGTCTAAAAATAAACCTAGTTGACTGTGAAAATGCTTCCGAAGCTGCTCTAACACAGTTTATAAGCTGAGTACAGGTTGTTTAGTTGTTGAAAAAGCACTTTTGATGTTTATGTTATTCAGCAAGAGTAGTTGGTTGTTTAGAAGCCATCAAATGAGTAATATATTCACTTTGTTAGCTTTGTTTTGTAGCTACAAGTTGAAAGTTGATTAGTGTGTGTATATAAGTGACATTAGCGTTAATTGGCTGATGTTATTCAGTGCGACTGACAAATTGAATAATGGTGGTGAGAAAGTTGAGTAAACGCTCTCCAAAACTATTTTGCTAGCTTTTGCTTGTAACTGTATCTGCAGCTTCTTTTCAGCTACTTTACAGCACAACGCTGGAAAAGTTGACTTACAAAGCTGAAAATGTTAGTTGGGTAGTATGGTACTGGGACACTTCCCCTATGATAACAAAAATGGATATGTTTGGCAGATGTGATGTTGTGAGGCGGTCGTAGGTAAAAAAAATTGTCAGTATTCGAGCAATTTGAGAAAAAAATGCCACTTGTATTTTTCCGATTCACCCCTTTTATGATGCAGTTTAGTAGACTGTAAATCTAAGCCATCACCCGTGTTGACAAACAAACTTTCTCTCAGATCAGTTAGGAAAAAGGGTAGAAGGCAATGAACAAAAGGTTCTCAGTCAGGTTCTAACCAAACGAGTTAAAATTTTGCTTATCAGAACCCGGTTTGGAACCGTTAAACACTGTGGAGCGAACAATTTAAATTTGTTATCAGTCTAGTATGGACCCGAAAGAGAGTAGAGTGAGGTCAACCAGCTGCATAGCCTCCGAGGCAGATGAATCATGCATTGAGAGTGGCGAGATTGCATAAAGAAAACCGAAATAAGTAGATGCGATTTGTGGGTGATTCGATGGCAAAAATCTGCCGGACCGGGTAGGCTGCAGGAACAAACTTTAATCCGGTTAGTTGACTTGGTGTGCAAACATGGCCAGAACACATTAGTGGGCGAATGAGGGAGAATTCTGCCTAGTCCTATGTCTTGAAAAACATCTGTGAAAGTGATCAAATAACACCCAGAAGTGATACATCAGAATGCTAAAGTAGAACTTCTCATCAAACCCTTCAAGCAACACGTTATTTCATACTAAACTCACAAAAAAAAAAATCAACCTCAACAATATTTCCTCAGAAAAGAGTGCTTTATTATCACTGTTTATTATCCAAACCATAATACATACCACCCACCCCTCACGTAATAACCAAGAGGCACAAAACCACTCCAACCACCCATTCTAGGTCCTTTTCGAGA